AAACGGAGTGCCTCCCTCATCCCGTACAATCATCGTCTCGAGTGGCTCCAACAGAGGGACAATGACGAACGGTCGGAGTGGGTTTCCCGTTTTCGGGATAGTCAGAAGAGCCTAGGCCGTGTGATCCAAGAAGTCTATGCCATGCGCGATGCCCACTGGTCAGTCCCGGTTACCACAAGCGGAATCCCCTCGAGTCGTTCCACACCAGAGCCAGTCACCCCTGTGAAGCCCGACTCCAATCGATGGACCCTGGGGAATCCAATCAATGGGCGCCAGGTGGCCAAGATCCTCAAAGATGGCACACGCCTCTGCCAGGCGTTCCAACATGGCCAGTGCAAGGCCAAAGCCAACTGTGCCAATGGCCAGCACCGTTGTGGGTTGGTCCTGCGCAAGGAGCGCGCCTGTGGCGCCCCTGGGCACGGCGCTGCCGCCTGTCGGGGCGGGAAGAAGTGATGCGGCCCCGAGGGGGAGGATGGGACGGACTCCCCCTTAGGGGACATCGATGCTCCCCGTCGCTTGGTTGCTGACCTGTTCTGTGGGCCCAACCTGCCACTATCCAAGGCTTTCCTTTGGTGCGGGTGGCGCACCCTGTCAGTCGACTGGATGTTGGACAAGTCTCATGACCTTTCTAATCCACTACGCCAGCAGTCCCTACATGAGCAGCTCTCGGAGGTTGACTTCATATGCGCAGCTTTTGACTGCTCTACCAAGAGTCGAGCCAGGGAAATTCCTCGCCGGTTTGAGGACGGCCGCCCATGTCCAGCACCGTTGCGCTCTGAGGAACATCCGGATGGACTGCCGACTCTGCAGGGTCGGGACCTTCAGCGAGTTCGCACGGACAACCAGGCCTGCGAGTTTATCCTCGAGGAGATTCGTCTGCTCGCCGAGCGTGGCGGCGGGTCAGTCCGTGAGAATCCCTGGCGTAGCCTACATTGGTGGGGGTCCACCGAGCGCGCTATGATGGCCTCTGGCCGCTGGAAAGACAAGCGGTATGATGCATGCTGTCTGGGGGGCGCTCGTTGCAAGGCGCAGTGCTTGCGTCACAACATTCATGAAATTGAGCAATGGCCGCCGCTTACCTGCCACCATTCTCATGCGCCACACGAATGGACTCCTTACCTTCAGGATGGCCAGACAATCTACCCATCCAAAGAGGAGGCCGAGTACACAGCTGTCTTGGCCTTTGCTATTGCGGTCGCAGCCTCGTGGTGGGCCGGGCGCGTGGGTCGCGCTAAACTGCATGTGCCACGGCTGCCGCAATTCGAGTGTGTCGGAGCCCGTGAACATTGGCTAGATCTGGATCCCCGGGCAGTCAGGGAATGGGCAATGGCGCCGCTTGCCCTGGGCATTGGCTTGTATCCCCCAGATCCCAGTGAGGCCGCCCGAGTCCCTCGTCGAGCTCAGGTAGATGACGTCCTCATCGAGAAGGGCAAGTTGCCGCACGATCATGTCTATGTGGGCCAGGGCCGTGGTTCACACCGTCTTGCCAAAACCAAGTGGGCCTCCCCAGTCATTCCTGGGCTGAACAGTCAGGCTAATGATTGGTTGTGGTACTATGTTGCCTACCTCTACGAGTCCGGGCTGGTGACCCAACTGCAAGAGCTGCAAGGCAAAGTGCTGGTCTGCGACTGTCCTTTCTGCGACCCTTGTGAGGCTGATGTGCTGGCAGGCCTTTGTTTCGAGGCGAGCCATCCACAGGGCCGCCAGTCGATGCATCGCTTCAGTCGGGGGGGGGACCCCTCCAGCTCGCCAAGTTCTCCTAGCGAGTATGGCCAGCACGGTCCAGGGTATCCCAACGAGTCCGACACGTTGGTGGAGCCAAGAGGCCCTCGTTCTCGCCTTTCGCAAATTATATCCAGCTCACTTCTTCATGAACTTCCAGTTCCCCATGGTTGAGGACATCATCAACGCTGCCCCGTTCAATGCTTTCCCGGTGTGGCTGCACAATAGGCACTACGAGACTGATGGCCCCCTGGGCCCGCACCTGGCTGATGCCAACGTTCGCCAGACCCTCCGAACTGCCGAGGGCCAGCAAGTGGGCGCACTGAATCAGCGAGCAGCCCTACCCCCCTTGCTGTCTTATGATCTCAGTCCTGATGCACACTTCGCCCAAGCGCTGGCACGGGGTCGCGACTTGCTACCTACCGAGCTACCAGCCGTGCTGGACCTGGACCTGGCTTTAGCAGCCGATTGCCACACTCAGTACCGAGGTCGTCTCCGAGACCTTCGCCGTGCAGCCGTGGGAGCACTTCGAGAACTTCATCGGCGTTGGTGTGCAGTAGGACGCCATCTACGGCAGTTTCAACCTGTCGCCTTGCAGGCGACCACAGCCACCCGTGACCTCGGCTTTGTCGCGCTGTTGATCTTGCTGACGTCATGGCCTGATGTTACATACCCCTTTGGGCTCATCGAAGGCCTGCCGGCAGTCGGTTATGCACCCTGCTACGGCGTCTTTCCATCTCAGCCTGCCGAACGTATTACTCTTACAGAGGTCCTGGCCGGATGCGAAGCACACAACCATCAGATCTTGTCTACCCTCAAGCCGGGTAAAGATGACCTGTTCCTGTTGGAGCAGTCTACAAAGGACGCGGCACGAGGGTTCTGTACCCCTCCCCTGACGCTGGCACAGTTGCGTCAGCAGCTGCAGGGGCAGCCGTACCGCCTGATCCCACGCTGTGTGATCACACAGTCTTCAGGCAAGCAGCGGATCATCGACAACGCTGATGCAGGAGGACAAACCTTACGCTCGGCCGATGCCAACAAGTTGGTGCTTTGCTCACCACTACGACCGGCTCAGCACATTAGCCAAGTCCTGCGCCAGATGAGCCCCTCCGAGCGAGCCCAGGCAGCCGCCACCGATACCTGGGAGACAGGTGGAGAAGACTGGCCGGATGCCTATCGCCACAGCCCAATGGGAGCCAACGAAACGCGGGGATGCGTTGTGACGTTTTGGCATCATGAATGGGCTGCTCCGGCTTTTCAAGTCTACGCCGGTCTGCTATTTGGTCTTCCACTGGCCGTTACACCCTTCAATCGGTACAGCCGTCTTGTAGAGGCCCTGGGACGCCGCCTGTGCTATGTCCTGGTTTCGCTTTACTTCGATGATGCATCTATTCAGGACTGGTCTTCGAGCCGGGGTTCGGCTCAATGGGCATTTGGAGCCTTGAATCAGCTTCTGGGCACCCCTTTTGCAGCAGAGAAACGCCAGGCTATGCGCCCCAAGGGGTTGTTTCTAGGCCTTGACCATGACCTTTCGTCCGCACTATCTGGTGGCTTTGTCTCCTTTTGGGCGAGGGAACGCCTTGAAACCAAGTTGAAGGCCATTATCCATGAATGCCGTGCAACTCAAGCTCTCAAGCCCGGTGTTGCAGCTAAGCTGTACGGACTGGCTAACTTCTTCGAGCAGGGCGTCTACGGCAGGATAGGATGTGGAGGTCTCCATGCCATTAAGGAACGTCAGCTTGTCCGAGGTGATCAACTGACGCCAGCTATCGAACAATGCTTTCAAATTCTCGAAGCAGTGCTCTCTATCCATCCGGAGCGTGAACTTGATGTCTGGCCGAGACACCATGAGCGCTTTGTGGCAGCGTCTGACGCTGCATTGGAGACCCCCGGTGAAGGGACAGGTGGTTTTCTCCTCGTCTTCTTCCACGAGGACACCGAGAGCCGGCTTGGATTTGTTTCCTACCTCCCACCGTCCATCTACGTTCTTTGGACCCCAGGAGAGGCTAAGATCGCACAACTAGAACTTTTGCAGGTCCTCATGGCATTGACTACCACACCTGAGCGATTTCGCAATCGCCGCGGCACATGGTACATAGACAATACCGCTGCCTTGATGGCGCTCATCAAGGGAAGGTCAGACAGCCCTGA